TCGTTAATCATTTCAGTAAACAAAGGATAATCGAATTTCCGTACGTCGATATACAAGGTTTTGCATGGAGAAGAGAGAATCCATAATATCCGTATAACGTTCATATCTCAAGTTACGTTTTCGACAGCGAAATCGAGATTATCCATGATTCGTGCCCCGTGCGAATACTTCATTAAGCAAACTGCGCACGTTGCGCGAAACGAAATTGCAGCGGAGTGTAACTTGGGCACATTTAGGATGAACTACACGAAACCTTCGAAGTAATACGAATTTCTTTTCAACAACTGTGACGTCATTTCTCTCACGAAACATGCTAATTAATTATCAAACTCAATTAATATTGAAAATTTCAAAAAGATAAAAACAACGGTAAATGTAAAGTTTCTAATTAAGCTAAGAGAGATAAATTATTAGATAACATCTGATATCTACGCGTTAATAATATTACGTATTTCTAACACATAAAAAAAATGTTGCCTATCTGGTTTATAAAGGTATAAGAGTTTAGACGGTAATAATTTCTTTTCCATTTCATCACATCTCGCAACTACAGTGACATGAGAGATAGGATTTTGAGCTGCGGATTTCGTTATATACATCCACTTCAGGCGCATCTGCAGGTATAAAGAATGAGAAAATGCATTTCCTCGACTTCGAACAAATGGTTGCGGCTTAGAAGAATAATAATACTCATCCTGCACATTTGTGAAGACAAAGGATTGCTCGCCGCAACGCAGTGCGAGGCTAACCTGTTTTTAGGTAACATCAGAGAATCGAGTAACAATATAGAACAGCGATTATTTAATCGACTATTTAACAATATAGAAAACAATAAAACTTTTTCTTTACGATATTCTTCGATCTAAGTATTTGTAATACAAAAGTTTTCTTGTATAATATAGAAGTTATAATTAAGCAATGCAAATCTAATCTTGTGCATACGTGTACATTCGCCTCGCATAGCGGTATAATACGCAGTTTATATGGTTAATATGGGTTCAGAAACTATTTGTGTAAATACTTATGCAAATTATAATCGTCCAAAACAAACGAGTGTTTGTATCTGCGGTGAATCGATTTGCATCGCTTCGCGTATAATATAATATTTACGTGATAGTTTTGCGAAACCCGCAAATTTTGCATAATGTATATTCAATATTTGATTAGAGCAAAATATTAATGCGCGGTTAATTTCATACTCAAACTATTTTAACATTTTAAATCGATCATGTATAAAAACACACAAAAGTAGGTACATAACTATCATGAAAAAGTTAATATTATTTAAATTTTTACTAAACTCTATAGCTCTCTCTCTCTTTATAAACATTATGTAATCTTATAAATGTAAAATAACAAACTATCCTGCAAACAAATTACCAAATTAACTAATTTATTGCAAATTAATGTTGAAAAAGTTTCTGTTAATGAAGAAACACTTTGAAAACTGTTTCGAAACATAGCTCATAAGACGTCAGACATTTCGCAAAGCAAATATAAACCGGAACGGAGTACGAATATAGAGCGTATGAAAGCCATCATTCCTTAGAAACTAGTAATGACGAAAGATAGTTAACCGCGACGACGGAAGTTGCGAGCTGTCTCCGCGAGAAACTCACGCCGTAACTTCGCTTTGCGATGCGTATTTGAAAGGAAATTGCACGCGCTCTTCCGCCTCCGTCTCTCTCCATCTCTCCCCCTCTCTCTCTCTCTCTCTCTCTCTCTCTCTCTTTCTCTCTATCTCTCTTAAAAACAACCTACACCGGGTATCTCGGCAAACATCATTACGATCTATAGTTTACAGATGTCAAGATAAATCTCAAAGACCGAGATAATAATCGGTTTCACAAATCACAGCATTTCCTATCCGTCGATAGAAGCGGCAACTCGAGAGAAGTGTTACTCTCATAAAACTCGTTAACTCTTTCATTTCGAGTTACAAAAGAACTTACACGGGGAACAGACTCGATTACACGAGTAAGAAACGCGTATATCGATCTCCCATCGCCGAGAAATGTAAGGCCGAGTTCTTTTTAAGCGTGGAAATAAAGCGGAATGTCACAACAATTGGCTCGAATTGAGAGTCTACGTGCTCATTACGACGTTTTTGTCTCGATTTCTATCACATTTGTTCGCAATACTTAGAAGAGAAAGAAGAAAAGTATGTGAATCTAACGAAAACCAAGATTTAGCTAAACAATACTTTTGCGATAGAAAGAAATTGAATCGAATTTTTAATCATAACTTGTTTTCATGCTATAGGTAACTACGTGTAATACAAGAATAGATTCTTAATAACTTGATCAGCTTAATAGCGCGAATAAAACGCTGTAATGATCATCAAATATGCGTCATTACTTCGAGATTTAGCTCAAGCGCGTCACACTTTCGCAACCTTCGCTTAAAAAAAAGAAAGGGATATACATATCTATGAAGTGTAGGTTTTGTATATGGGGTATTGTAGGTATACAACAGTTTTATGATGAAAAGAAAACTGGGGTCTCTCGGCAACGACTATTTTTGCTATATCCTACAGTGAGCGATGTAAAATGAGGAAAAATTGGGTCTTTAACAAGTCAACCGGGAATAATGCGAATAAAATCCCATTATAAGATAAACGCACTTTCGAATTTGGAAACTGAATTAAAAAGCATACATTTCGAGATTGCTAATTGACCCAAATTGGGACGAAGTGTACGAGTTGTATGAAGGACGTCGTTCGTTACTATTAAATGACAAAGACAACTTCGTTTTTGCGCCAATACATTTGCTCGGGCTTTTGGCGCGTATCGACGAGATATACGAAATCTCGCGGTGACGACACGTCAACAGACAACCTGTGTACTATTCCTGGCGAACGCGTATCCAATTTGCAACAACGGATAAACAGGCGCGCAGTAAATTATTCGCAACGCCCGCATGCCCCTATTATTCCCATTTTACCGTAATGGAGAGGTCCGTACCCAGAGAGACCGATGTCCCCTTGGAATGACTCCAACGTTGCAGCGCGATACAACGCATATCGATATAAAAAAGCTGTATCGAGCTGGAGTGATGCACCGATATTACTGCGAGACATTGGCGATACGCTGCCGCAACTCGCAATTTTTAAACTTTTATAAAGGAAATATCGGAAAATATAACGCAGAAAAATGTCATAAATTATGTATTGCACCGCGTTAACTAAATTATTAAAATATTTTGCATGTAATACGCGCAATTCTGCGATGCAGAAAATCTTAAAACTGTGTCCGTTGTAGATAATAATTTATCTATTTGTTTAAAAAAAAAATCTGTTCCCTCGCTATAATAGTTTAGAAATTAGCCCTGGCAAATTTTAAATTAAAATAACTTCACTTCCATTTGCGAACAATCGAACGCAAGATAAGTTACATTTTGGCGATCGGATATCGATTACTGCGAATAGGTTACAGCGAGGAAATCGTGGGAGAAAGAGAGAAAAAAGGCACACCATCTCCTTAACCTCGCTTTCTGCTTCCGTGAGCAAGGCAAACACATTTCAGGATCTATTTCATGCGAGCTCTTCGAACGTGCCGCACACCGACGGCACCGCTTGGAAATGTGGCGACGTTCATTGCAACTTCATTTCCAGACAAGTGCAAAATACTTCACCGGCGGCAGTTCTCGCAATCTCTGTGTCAATTTTGAAAGTCATAAGCTAGAAGCTATTAACTTTTTAACAAAGAAATTTTTTGTTAAATGTATCATATTTTTGTCATAAGTTTACAGGGAACTATGAAAGGCAGTTATACATATTTTTATGCATTCAACAAAAATTTTACACATGTCTTTTACCTCGTAAAAAACATACATAAAATAGACTTATATAAGTTTATAACATAGAAAAGTTTATAAGATACAGTTATATAAATGGCTGTTTATCAATTGCTATATACATATCCTTTATGTATTCATTAAAAATAAAAAAACTATCTGCATTACCAAATAACAAATTGACTATTATTTTAGAAAATAATTCAATATATAAACGAGCATAAAGACAAACTTGAAACTTGTCGATTTCAAGATCGACAGAAATGTGCCATTCATGCTAATTAGTCGAATCGATATCCAATCGATGAGCTTTAATAAACTCGATTAACTGACTCGATTGTGTTTAACAAAAATTACATCACGCTAATTTCTTCGATTGTTCAATCGCGCTATTTTAACAATCTATTAAAACATAACAAGTCCTTAATGAAGCGACAATTACTCTCTATCGTGAAGTCTAACCTATTTCCCAATAAATTTGTCCATTTCAAGTGTTTCGTTGGCGCTTAGTAATTTATCGAACAAGCTTCCTGATTGTCAAATTTAACGAGCAAATAATGAATCACAATTTATACTTAATTCCTCTCGACGACAGAGAAATCCATTCGCCAATAAATGCCTCTGTTTCATTGTCGAGCCTCAGCATCGATTGGTTCATGACATTCATGAGCTTTGAAACACTGCGCTTCCAAATTCAATACGGTTTCTCGAGACAATTGTGTCTATCAATAAATATATAATGTGACTCTTTTACTTTAAGAGATAATCGTATAAAAAATTTAAAGCCACGACGCTTTTCCTATGTCGCGTTATCGTTTATGACGTATTAACGCAAAGTTCTTTTCGAACTAATTAATGAAATCATATAAAGAAGTTCGATTAGTTCTGAAATAACATAAAATATATAGATAAATACATGTGTATATAGATATACTTTCTATTCCGTTCTAAAATCTCTGTTTACCTTCTCTTCGCTTAAGTTATCCCTAGCAAAGTCCCGGATGACTGCTTCGCTATCAAGAATTTGCCGATATCATTACTGTTAATTAACTAGCTTATAATTAGCCGAAGAGGTTTCAATCAACTATACGAAAATCGAGGCCATTCGATCAAACTTTTGACCGTTGAACGCGAACGAACGAAATCTCGAAAGAACGACGTCTCGACTGATCCCTTTTGGGGTTTCCGGATGGATGCCTACTCACCCTTTGTCGATCACCCAAGGGTCGAATGCCCGCACAAGCTGTGACGTCGGCGGGAAACGTCGCACAGATCGGGCGTCAGCTGAAGCGGGCGATGTATGACGTGCCTTGCACCACACGGTGCTCGCAGTGGCGAGAACGAGATAACTTTTCACCACCGAGCACAACCGTCCTCACCATTCGAGAGTGCGCGGACGACTGAGGTCCGACCGTCGCCGTGGGTGTAGCTGTGCGGTGCCAGCTCCCTCTCACCCTCTCATCCTTCGCGAGAAAGCGCACGCTCTCTTTTATCCAACAAATTCTCTCTCTCTCTCGTTCTCTTTCTCTCTCTTTCTTGTTCAGTCGCGAATTCTCCCTTAACTTCTTAGAGCTTTTCGTCCTCCTCGCGCTGGTCGAAGCGCGCTCCTCGTTCATCCAACTCGCTCCGTTCATCCGACGCTTTCCCACCCAGTCGCTCCCATATTTTCCATCCCGTATTGCTCTTCGTCCGCACCCCCCGATTATCCTCGTCGCTCCGGTGTCGATCCGACTCCCTCTTTCCCCCGCGTTTCCGCGCGTTCCTCTCTTTTGCATTCCGGACTAATGTATCCTTTCTCCAATGTGTAGATAGTCCTTTCTCCTCTATTGCTTCCTCCCTCTACAACAAAGCGGTATCTCCTGTTCTCTCGCTCCACCGTGTCTCAATCATCTCATTCATCCCCCACCTTTCTCACGCGCGATTCTGGAGCGCGTCGCACTCGCCCCTTCTCTCGACAATCCTCGTTATTTCACCCTCCACCACCCAGATCTCTCTTCGATCTACCTTCTCTCTCTCTATTGCGTTACTTCGTCTCTCTCGCGTACACGCATACTGTCTTGGAAAATTTCGCACCCTCTGGCAACCCCACAGCAAGAAACGGATGCTGGACTCGATTCGCCGACCGAGTTCACCCGACTCGGGGAGAAAGAGAGAGGGAGTTAGCTTCGACGAAGGGGCGAACGAGTAAGTGGTGGTGGCCTGGTCAGCGGAAACGACAAAGACAAACGACGACAGTACGATCGGCGAGGCGAGACGAGCGAGGGAGAAAAACGAACGGTGCGCGTCCGAGCGTCGATCGTCGTAGATGGGAAGAGGCCCAATTTATTGAATCCAGGGGACCTATCGTGAAACTACTTGCAATTCCGATCGAAAACGCGAGTTTCCGAAAGCAATATTGTACGTGTTTTGCAACCGTGAATCTCTTTCAAAATCGGTTTATATATATATCAGTCGAGTTGCAATGGCAAATAAAAGGAAGAAAAAAAGAGGGAGAGTCAAGTATTGGAATTGACATCAACAATATAATATGCAAAAGCAGCTGAGAAATATAATTTGAGTTATAAATTTTAATTTAACGTATATTGTTATTTATATAAAGATTAAATAAAATTATATATTTTTATCAATGTATTTTTAATTTAGAATTAATTGTAAAAATAAAAAAATTAATATTATCGTCAATTTAATATTTTGTATTAAAAAGCACACATTTACACATACTAATAAATTAGTCCTTACTTTAATGCAACACCTAGACTAAATTGATTCTCTTACTTAAAATAAAGTCGATCTTTCGACAGACCTGTCCATATCTTACATGTTACTCGAACGAAAAATCGAGTTATTTAGAGAAAGTCGCCCGATACGTTACCGATACGGCCTTTAATGCGAACAGTCCCTCACAAAAGGATCTGCTTTAGTGCTATGTTGGCAAGATTCGGCGATACGTATATCACAGCAGAGATTTCCGGAAGATTCATATCGCCCGGCGTGTAACGAAATTTATCGCGTCATTCGTTTTCGAAATAGAACGAATGTGCGCGACGCAAAACAAATATTGAAAGCTCGTTAATCTCGAAATTGAATAATCTCGAAACCTTTTTCCTCATTTTTAGCGAAAATTGAAAAATTACGGTTCTTTGCAAGCAATTACATCTGGCATATTCATCTCTGCATTTCAATATTTAAAATTATTGCAGCATTCGACATACATCCTACCTTATTTGTCGATTTCATATTTTCTCTTTTCTCTCTCACCGCTATAAATCACATAAAATTAAGCTTTATTGTAGCCAGACAATTCGTTTAACTTTAATTCGCGTTCTCGCACCTAGCACTTTCACGTCACCTGCAACGAAGTCCAGCCGTATACGAAAAGCTGGAATTGACAATTTCTCATCAGACTAACTTGAACAATTTTGTGTGAGAACAACCGTGAGTTCCGACTATGTCGCACCCGGTACGGAACATCCAAGCAGACAGCTTTCAATTTGCCACGAAATAATTTACACTTTCCAGTACGGCGATTCCACTGGGAAATTTATTGTGAATATGCATGCAGTACTTATGAATATGAATATGAGAAAATTATTATGCCAACGACGGCGCGCGATGCAGGAAGTTCGCACGCAGAGAAGCTCTCCCTTCTCCATCTCTCTCTTTCTCTGTCACTCTGTCTCTTTTTCTCCCTATTTATCTTTCTTCTCTCTCAAGCTCGCTCATTTTCAAAACCCTCAAGAAGGCGAGACTTTAAACAAATAAATATTAGAAAAGTTGCATCGCATAAGATAGAAATCAAATTTGCTCAAATAAATGACCTGCATTCTGAGATTCGTTGCTATATGTGACAATGCAACAAACTACGTTTTAGTACATAGAACGCTTCTGTAATGTTTCCTGGGTAAGTCACGACGACCACATTACTCGTGATTTAGCGCAATGGTCAGGAAACGTCTGTGCGCAACACGTGCTGCAATGTGCACGCATTAAAGTAAACTTTAAGCTATTTATTCAGAAGTAGAAACTATATAGTAAGCCGCAAATCAACTTGTATGACGTATAAATAATAATCTAACGTTACAGAGTAAAGCTTATTCAGCCTCGAATGAATAAATTATACAAAATATACACATCAAAATAATATATAAATATTCTGAAATAGTTTTTAATAAATATTTCCAGGTGAAGAAATTTAAGAGACTCGCATTCATAATCAATAACGCGATACGCATCTCAAAAGCGAGACTCAGAATAAATAGTGTGAGAACCAAAAGAAATAATAAACCTTCCGTATAATATTGCTGTTCACATGAATTTTTCATGTTCACGAGATTAATTTACATAAATCTGCATTCATAAATCTGGATATCGATACAAATATCCAGTTATTAACATCGTTTATATATACCATCAAAATTATTTTTAATATAATAATATATTAAAAATGTATTATTCCAAGATCTTTCATATTTTAAAAAAATTCGTGAAAATGAATCTTACGTTATATTATTTTGCTAAACAAAAAATTACAATAAAATTAATACTTTATAAAAATCTCTTAGCAATTATAATTTGTATAATAATATTTAAACTTGGAATAATATTTGGAAAGATATAATAAGAAAGTTATAAAACTAACTTGGAAAGTTGTAAATTAATTCAAAAACTTTCTTCTTCTACAGATAATTATTAATTTTTATTCTGCATAGACACTAAGCGCATAAATATTTTGTAATTTTTATTTTTATAAAAAATAAAGTTTTAAATAAAAATATTAATTTTTTATTCATTTTTTGTAATATTAATTTGCTTCTTTATTCTTCTTTGTCTTAATATTTATTTAAATAATGTTAATCTAAACAATTGAAAGTTTAATTATGTATATTAGACTTGAAAATAATATTGGCTAAATAAAATTATTAAAATATTTCATGTTCTCATTTCAATATTATTTTTCTATAGTTTATAATATTATTTTTTATTTTATATGATTTATTTTTACTTGCCTTATAAATTTTAAATAACTGATATACTTTGCAATTAGTATTCCGAAATATAGAAAGACAGCAAAACATAATAATAAATGACAAACGTTGACGAATTCTATTATGAATATGAATACAGGCATATGAATACAAGTGCATTTTCGCGTACACAATAAATTCTTCTCAAATAACGACAAACAATTCCAAGATTAAATATTGTATATATATATATATATAGCAATAGTCTGTTCTGTTTCATTCATTTTAGACAATGGATTTATGCGAAGTATATCAGTTATTTAAAATTTATAAGGCAAATAAAAATAAATATATAATATATAATAAAATAAAAAATAATATTATAAACAATATATATATATATATAGAAAAATAATATTGAAATAAGAACATAAAATATTTTAATAATTTTATTTAGCCAGTATTATTTTCAAGTACAATATGCATAATTAAATTTTTAATTGTTTAGATTAACATTATTTTAAAAAATATTTAAAAACAAAGAAATAATAAAGAAGTAAATTGATATTACAAAAAGTGAATAAAATATTAAATAATATTTTTATTTAAAACTTTATTTTTCATAAAAAATAAAAATTACAAGATATTTATGACATGTTACATTTACCTCTGTGCTACTTTTACTATAATTCGACACATATATACATCTAAATAAATTTGATATAATTGATAGCATAGGATCTCTCGAGAGATCCTCGCAGGTAGGTGGCTGCGGCGCGTATCGCGCCCGTTCCCCTCGCGCCGCGACGAGCGGGGAGGGGAAAACCTATAACGGATAACCTAATCGGTTTGCGGTTTCTCGCGAAAATGATTCGGTCCGACCGAAAGGTGCGACGACTTCGTTAACACCCGCACGATCTTCTCAAATAAATTGAATTATGAATTATGATTTTATGCCGGGTTGCAGTTACGTGAACGAGCCGCGTGCTGATTGCCGATCACGTGAAAGGGA